CGGATACACTGCTGTTTCTCGTCCTGACTAGTTACACGTGAATGTTCAAGGAGCTCAGCGTGTTACATGTGAATTCAAAAAGCCATATTGTGCTGTGTGGGTCCACACTGGTTAGAAGGAATTAGGGATTCTCTGCTAGCTCTCTCCTTAAATTGTGTTTAAATGGTGTGATGATCTCAAATAGGGAACACTATGCTGGTAATACAGAAAAAGTTTGTTTTCAACACGGCTCTTATGAGGTAAGGATTTTGTATGTGCTATTTTTATTTGAATAATGAACTGAATTTAGATTTTAATGGACTATCCTGATTTGAGTGAAAGAAGAAATATTTAGATGCAAGATTCATCTTGTGCTCTCTCATAAAATGCTTTTTGGTTTGCAGTACACCGTAAGTGCAGGATACTCTTATAAGTCAGTGTTTGGATGAGTCCAGAGTGTATTGATGTGAGGGAAAGTCAACATTAATTGAATGAAGGGCTTTTAAGAAGCCCATTATAACCACTTATAATGGAAAATGTAGTTCCCATTAGAGATTGATTTAGGGATCTCTGCTTCTTCAGCGAAGCATGAAGGCTGCTGTGTGGTGTTCTGTGCAAATCACTTTTACGGTATCCTCTGCTGAGCTCTTTCTGTTTAATCTGTTGGTGTGTCTAAACCTGAAAGGACTGCATCTGTCTTGTTTAAGGAATATGAAAATTTCTAGAAACTTAAACCAAAGATTAGCATATTTTTCATTTATCTAATAGAATATTGAAAAATAAAAAAAGCTTTACCAGTTCTAAACAGACGCAGCAACACCAGATGTCAGTTCTTGGATCATTTCATCTTTTTCTCTTGTGCTTATTTTTGTTAATATTTTTCTTCTGGAACCAAATATTAGTTTCTGGCTCTGCTTGCAATATAAAAATTTTCCAATTAGATTGCTATGACTTCATTTTTATTCATGAGGGGAAACTTAATAAAGATCATTACATATTTGTGGCATGCAGGAGATGAACTTTAAAACAAACCACCTGGCCCAGGGCAGGGCAGAGAGCCTGGAATTTTAATCCTTTCTGGAGTCTGAGGGAGGCTGGCATGAGTCTGTATCTCCCTTCTCTACCTAATTCTTGATTTGGGAGGATTCCTTGGATTTGTATCAGTCAGCTATATGATTGACCTTACTCCCCAATTCTGGATTAATTTAACTCCTTGCTTAGCTTTTATATGGATTGTCTGCCTACTCCCATGCCAGGTATTTAGGGAAGTATAAGGAAAGTGTGAAACATGGTAGTGTTTGACTGGAAGGAACTCAGGCCTTGGAGCTGAGGAGGCAAAGTAAAGTGTCATTGTCACACAGTGTATGATTAAGTGCCTTGTAGTAACTGATAGGTGACATGTGACATAAGCTCCTAAGGAGGAGAGGGACGGGCACACAGTGGTCAGGGAAGGCTCTAAAGCAGAACTGGGCCTCATATTGGACCTGGTCAGGACGAGGAGCATAGCAAGGTTACCTCAAGCTCGGGGAAAGAGTAAGGGTGAAGGTACAGAGATGGGGAGGAGCCCAGCGGTTCAAACCATAGTGTGAGAGTGAGCTCATCAGAGCTGGATACTCAGCCACCATCTTTACTTTTTTTCTTTCTTTTATCACCCGCATCCTTGAATGAGTACTAACTACCCCAGCTCACTGTAACACAGCCTCCACTCCCACTGCTCCACTAATACAGTCCTGTTGGAGGTCTTCTGTGACCACTCCCCATCTTCTGGTGGCCAGCTACATTCATCTTAACTTGCAGAATCTATGCTGAGGCATTGAACTTTGTTGATTCCAGATTAATTTTATAGCTTATTTCCAAATGCTTTCTGGCTCCAAAGGTATTGAAAGACACTGGAGTGTGCACCAAACTGGATGTAAATCCCTGCTCCACCACAGCTACTGCTGTAGAATTAGAGCAATTAATTAGCATCTCGCAGCCTCAGTTTAATGTAAATAAGGATACCCAATTCTAATGTGATTATAAGGATTAAAAGAGATAACATATGTATAATATGATAAAATAAATGACTTATGGTAGGCATTACATGACTAACCAGCCATCAAGGTTAGTTCTCTATCCCTACTTGGTAGCCACTCTGTCCTCCTTGCTTGAATGTGCCTTGCTCTTTTCATTTCCATCCCTTTGCTGAGGTGTTCCTCTTTCTGGAATGCCCTGTCTCTCATCTTAACCTGTTGAAATCCTCACCAGGATTGCTGGGGCCAGGAGTTCCAGACCAGCCTGAGCATGAGGGAGACCTCTGTATCTGCAAAAAATAGGCAAATTAGTTGGGCATGGTGGTGTGCATCTATAGTCCCAGGTACTTGGAATGCTGAGGCAGGGAATCACTTGAGCCCAGGAGTTTGAGGTTGCAGTGAGCTATGATGATGTCACTGCATTCTTGCCAAGGTGACAGTGTGAGACCCTGTCTCAGAAAGAAAAGAAAGAAAGAAATTCTAACCACTTTGAAAGGTTTATTTTATCACCTCAATCATAATTGAGCTTTGTGTCTCCTGGGTTCTTCGTATTGTTCATTGGATAGCTCCAAGTTACTACCCTACGATTTAGTTACTTGCACAGTCTTATTTTTTCCATTGGATGATAAACTCCTTGAGGGTGAAGCCCACATCAGGGACAGGGAGATAAACCAGTAAGAGTTAGGACTGTATGCCCCATTGTTTCTGTACAGTGCCGTGTGCATAGTTGTTAGGCTTCCAGGGTGATCTCACCATTGTATGTTGTTTTTTTCTTTTTTTCCTAACTGCAACCATATGTTGATCATTTCTAATTCCTTTTCTCTAGCCTTCACTGCTCTTCTGTGCTTTCCATGTAATCAAACGTGCGGTGACTGTCTCTAGCTGACTATCCCATAGGCATCTCAAAGGCAACATGTCCAAAACTAATCTCTCATCTCCTTCATCCCACACACGGTCTGCCCTCTTCATGTATGTTGTATCATATCCTTGGCATGGCAGTCCACTTAATCCCTAAAGCAGAAACTTGGAGGGCATTCTTCATTCTTTCCTTTCCTATGTTGAATGAGTCACCAAATCTCAACTCATTTGCCTTCTAAGTATTTCTTGAATTTGCCCCTCCCCCCCATTTCTTTGTCAACTATGGCTGCCTAGGTTTGGGCCTTCCTCTATAAACTAGTTTTACTATAATTTTTAATAAGTCTACTTTGCCCTATCCTTAATCCTCTCAAGTTCATTCTCTACCTCTATAATCTGATTATGCTACACTCCCTCATGTTAAAGTAAACCTTTGGTGACTTCCTTTCATATGCATCAGGGATTTGAACATTGGTTTTATCTCATGAACCAGCTCTGATGGATTTTGTAGTGGCCGCTGCAAGTGCAGCTGTTGAGTTCAGCATGATCACTTAGTGATGTCTGACAAGGTGCAGTGAAGCAGGTGGGCATTGCACAGTGCATAGCTAGGATTAAGTTCAAGCTCCTTAGCGTGGCATACAAGGTCTTCTATGGCCCTGAGCCTTCCCAAGTCTTCATTGTCAGCTCACTTTACCCTGGGACAATAGAGAACTATTTTTTCTTGCTTTTTCCTCAATCTGGACCTACTTTCTTGTACCCTTTACCTGGGAAGCCCTTAGTGTGTGTATGTGTGGAGTGCCTGGGGTGGGCCCTGTGTAAGGCTTTTTTTTTTTTTAATTGAAAAAAATTGTATGTGCTTATTATGTTCAACGTGATATTTTGAAGTATATACATTGTGAAAAGGCAAAAGTGAGCTAATTTGGTGTTCTTCTTGTAGGCTCTAATGGCACCCTTTGCCTCCTCCATAATAGTACATATCAGATTGTCTTGAAATCCTAACAGTCTCCCCCGCAAGACAGTAAATACCATTAGAGCACATATCACGTCTCATTTAGCTTTACTCTCTGGTACTTATCACAGTACATTTCATGTAATATGTATTGTGGATTAAATTGTTTATTGGACTGAAACAAGTTAGTAGATAATTTTGATTGTGAACACACTTTGTTTTTTTTATTTAAATTTATTGGTGAATATACTTTTGCTTTGGGGTGAAAGGCCAGATTTTTAGGAGTGTTAGTGCTCTGTGGAAAATTTTGATTGGTGAATCGGGCGGTCAGTGGACATTGGAAATTTTTGACCAGGGGAGTGGCATGATGAAACTGGTCTTTAGGAAAGATTGAGCAGGGAACAACCTTTTATTATAGGTTTAAACGACTTCTGGCAAGCATAGGTGAGGGTCACAGGCCGAAGGGTGGGGAACGTGTGGCCCTGTAGACCCCCAAGTGCCGCCTCTCAACTGAATCCAAACGTCACGGAACAAATCCCTTCATTAAAAGGATTTGTTCTATAAAATTTAGATTCAGTCAAAAGGCCGAACTCATGGATCTGGAAGGCCACATGTGGCCCCAAGGCTGCAGGTTCCCCACCAATTTCTGAGGAATAGCTTCCCGAGTCTTTGTGCTTTGTTTCCACATTTGCTCGAGTGGGATGTACTTGCTGGCATGTTTCCGAAAATAAAATAAGAGCGCCGAGGTTATTTTTATTTTTAAAGAAAGAACATTCTTGTAAAACACCTAAGAGCCATTTTACATAATTGTCTATGAGACATACTCATTATTAATTGCTTGATTATGAGTTCAAAAATTTTTTTAAATAGTGTCTGCGTAGCTAGGCTACAATCTCATAAAGTCAGTGAAGGTTTTTGTTTTGGCATGTCTTAAAATGTTTGCTAATTATGAGGAAAATACTTCAGTTTTCCATCAGCCCTTTACTTTATAGTTTAACATCTCCATTCTAATTGTGGGTTTGTGTTTTTCTTTTACCTCCCTCCCTGCCGTGGGCATTTGCATTTTGTATTTGACTCGTGACTGTTTCCTGGTTAAAGTTTATCTTTCACTTGTTTTGGGATATATAACTCTGCTCTGCTTTATTCTTTATGTTGGCTGTTACACACTTTAAAATTTACAATTGCTTTGTTATTTTCTATTGCAGGGTTATGACTCATTGATTAAAAAAAAAGGACTTTTTCAAATACTTTGCACTTTTGATTGTGTATTATGGATACCAAGGAAGAGAAGAAGGAACGGAAACAAAGTTATTTTGCTCGGTAAGCATTCACTTTGCAAAATTATATCAGTACTTTAAAAAATATATATTTGAGGGACTTTGTCCTTAAGTATTACTTGGCCTTTTTTGTTTTGTGACTGTTTATAAACAGAGCGGATTAGTAGAAGTTAAATATACTTTGCTTTGTCCATTTTCTTATTTATGTTAGAGGAGTAACATTTGGTTCTTTTCTATCTTTGACAGTTCTCTCAGGCAGTGCTGCTCAGAGAAGCCAGCTGTTATGCACTGACCTGCAAATTGCTCTGAATCTTATGTTTAAGAATCTACCTTGAATTTAAAATCCAGAGTGCTTAGCTTCTGCTGCTCTGTAGCCTAATTAGTTGAGCTGTAACTAAAAATCTGACACATTTAAAGCTGATCACCTTGTGGGGAGTCCATTAAAAAAATGTTTTTGTAAGTAGGTGAAATGGGTAAAATTATATTTTGAATCAGTATCATTTTTAAGGATTGAACTTGTCCAACACACACACATACTTGTTGATATCTGAAGAGATGTAATCTAATATTTGATTGGTTACTGTTTACAGAGTTAAACATCTATCTGGCAGTCAAATGATATGCTAAACATTTATAAGTCATTTTGATAGCCAGAATGTTTTCAAACTGAGAAAACGTAGTCTTAAAATGATCATAATGATTCTCCTAAGTTGAAGTACTTCTTAAGGACTGAATTTAGCCTCGTTGTATCCCCAACCCCCAGTCTATGCTCATTAAAGATGCATTTTCTGTTTTCTAAATACAAGCCATGGAACTAAAACCAAAGTTTGCCGTTGATGTTTTTATGCAGCAATTAAGGTGGATTTTAGCTTGTTAATAGGAAAAGGAAAGAAACAATTTAAGGACCTACCATGTACTAAGTGTTTTATTTATTTTATAATCTTCAAACTAAACCTATGGCATAGGTTACTTTATCCCCATTTTACTAGTGAGGTAACTAAGACTCAGAAAGTATTTTGTCTATATCATGCAGCATAAGAGTCAGTATTCAAACATAGAGCCATCTCCACAGGGCATGCTCCAGTTAGGAATAATAAACCATGAATAAGGGTTTTTGGAAAGCAAGTGTTAAACTACTAATTTTAGTGAAATGTTTTGTGCTATTAGGATTACAGAGAGTAACAAGATTGAGAAAGGAAGAAATCAGGTATATAATGGATGAGATGTTAGAAAGATAGGCTATTTAGAATAAACAAGAATTACATAACTTTTTATTTTGAGATAATTGTAGATGCACATGTAGTTGAAAGGAGTAATAGATACCCTGTATCCTTTGTTCGGTTTCCCCTAATGATGACATCTTGCAAGACCATAGTATAATATCACAACTAGGAAATTGATGTTAATACAGTCTACCAACCTTGTTCAGATTTTGTTAGGTTTACAAGCCCTCGTAGTATGTGTGTATTTGTGTGTGTTTAGTGTGTGCAGTTACACCCACATGTAGATTTGTGTGGCCACCATCATAGTCGAGAAACAAAACAATTCCATTGAAAGGATCCCACAAGCAACTCCTCTGTAGCTGTACTTACCTCCCTCCCTCCCTCTACTTGCCACCCTGACAATGTGTTCTCAATCTCTATAGTTTGTCATTTTCAAGAATATTGTATAAATGGAATCATACAGCATGTAACCTTTGTCATTTAGCTTTTTTTTCACTCAGTGTAATTGCCTTGAGCTCTGTGGAAGCTGTTGAGTGTATCAATAGCTTGTTCCTTTTTATTGCTCAGTACCATTCCATGGTATGGATGTACCACGGCTTTCTAGTCATCCATTGAAGAACATATGAGTTGTTTCCAGTTTGGGCTATTACTAACATAACTGCTAGGACCATTTGTGTACACGTTTTTTGTGAACATAAGTTTTCAGTTCTCTGAGATAAATGTCAAAGTATGCAATTGCTGGACCAAACGGTGTGTGCTTAGTTTTGTAAGAAACTGCCACACTCTTTTCCAGAATGGCTGTACCATTTTACTTTCCCATCAGCAAAGTATGAGTGATCTAGTTTCTCTGTATTGTCTCCAGCACTTGGTGTTATCACTATTTTTTTATTAATATTTTAGCTATTCCGATAAGTATGTAGTGATATCTTATTGCAGGTTTAATTTCTATGTCCTTAATGGCTAGTGAAGTTGAACATATTTTCATGTGGTTATTAGCCATCTGTATATCTTCTTCAGTAAAATCCCTTTGCATGTCTTTTCCCCATTTTTAATTGTTTGGTTTTTTTATGAGTATATTTTATGAATATACATCCTAGAAACCTAGTTCTTTGTCAGATAAGGGGTTTGCAAACATTTTCTCCCAGTCTGTAGCTTGTCTTTTCATCCTCTTAACAGAGTCTTTTGCACATTAAAAGTTCTTAATTTTGATGTTGTTCAACTTATCCATTTCTCCGTTTATGAATTGTGCTTTTGGTGTCAATTCTAACATCTCTTTGCCTAGCTCTAGATTCTGAAGATTTTCCCCTGATTTCTTTCTTAAAGGGTTTATAGTATTCTGTCTTATATTTAAGTCTGTGATCCATTTTGAGTTAATTTTTCTATGGGTTGCCCCCTACCCCCCGCCATTGATGCACTATGTAGTGATTTTAAAAGCTATAGTGCCTTCTCAGACTGAATCCAAACTGAATGTGTCAGGTTTCAGTGTGAAAATATTGGTTCTTTTTTTTTTTTTTTTTTTTTTTGAGGCAGACAGAGTGTCCCTCTGTTGCTGGGGCTAGAGTGCTGTGTCGTCAGCCTAGCTCACAACAACCTCAAACTCCTGGGCTCAAGCAATCCTGCTCCCTCAGGCTCTTGAGTAGCTGGGACTACAGACTTGTGCCATCATGCCTGATTATTTTTTCCTATATATTTCGTTCTATTTTTTTTTTTTTAGTAGAGACAGGGTCTTGCTCTTGCTCAGGCTGGTCTCGAACTCCTGAGCTCGAAAGATCCACCTGCCTCGGCCTACCAGAGTGCTAGGATTACAAAAATATCGGTTCTTGACATGCTTATGACTGAATAATGAGCAGCTGGACCAAAGTAAGGCAAGCACGAAAATGAGGTTTGTTGAGAGAAAGATAGGATTATAGGGCAAGAGCAAGATATAGGTTTACAAAGCATGATACATACGCCAGACGACCAGACCCATTGTCACAGCAAAGTGAGAGCAAAAGGAAGGATGCAAGAAAAAGGATGTGGTTATGGCCTGAATCTTGATTGGGACCTCCCTTGGGGCTTAGACGTCACCATTGGAACCACTTTGATTGGACAGTTGGGAGTCACATGACCTGAGTCTTAACTACACGTGCAAGGTTGTTCTCTGTGAATTTCCGGACTCTGTTATGCCTATGCCAATTGGCCCTCGGGCTAGAGAATCCGCTGCATTCTTTTGCAGCTGGCACACTAAGTTATTTGTGATTGGCAGAGTTGTAGGGTATTTACTCCTCTCCCAGGTATGGAGAGGATTAGGGTGGGACAAGTGTACCATGGCAAAGCATCCACTTTTGTCCATAGGAGACCTGGAATCCCTCACTATCTACTTAACGATTCCTGTAGTAAGAACAGTAACTGCTGGTTCATGAACAACTTGCTCACTGTTAACCTCTTCTTATCCTAAAATGTAGAGTAAGGGGAACCTTAGACTCGGAATACAAGCCAAAATTGTTCTGGAGGAACAACATAGTTTTTTCAGCTCAGAAATGTAAAATTTAATTGTCATGCTTACTTTGACCTCATCTGAAAACTATTCTAACAAGGAAAAGAAAAACATATCCCCAAAGATGAAGTATGACCTTGGGATGTAGGGACAGTAGGACTAAGACAAAAATCAGTGGTGTTATTAAAATAATAAGATGACATATATGTTACTAGGAAATGAGAAAGAAAGAGCGAGAGAACACAGACTGACAAACCTGTAGTTTAGCTGTTACAATGTTACGGTGCAGTGGAAGCCAGAAATGGTCAAGCTATTAAAAGCAAAAAGCAAACCCAAAAACCCGTAATTGGAAAAGAGCCAGCCAAAGTTATAAATTTTTTCAAACGGACAAAATCATAATTACCAACAGAACTTACTTATAAGCCAGTTTCTGACAACATAGGGCAGATTTCTCTGGAGCAGTGTACTTAAGGGCAGTCCAAGTGAGATCTCTGAGGAGGAATGTAAAGTCAGGCCAAGGGTAAGGCCAAATTGATGCAAGCACAGTTTTCTCTAAATTATACCACCTTACACAGATCTCCACTAGTGTTCAGAGGAAATCAAAAGGAAGATTTGCCCTGATGTTTGGCCTGCCACCACCGTTGTGTATCTGAAAGCCTAAAAAATTGCTTTTTAACTGTTTCCCTCCTTCCTCCTTACCTTTTTTCTCCTGAGTAATTAACTAGCCAATGTTTTGTTTGTGTGTTATCATGTGGTTTCATAAACATTGTATCATTGAGTTTGGTAAATAATTCTTTCTAACCCTGCTTTGTTGATGTTTCTTTCTCTCTCTCTCTCTCTCTCTCTCTCTCTCTCTCTCTCTCTCTCTCTCCCCCCCCCAATTTAAGATCAAAGCAAAGGTAAGTTTATAAAAGACCCTATGTTGCTAATTTTGGATTGAAATTAGTGATTTGAGGGTCACTTAATCCTTCATTTCTCATAATTTATCTTGAAATGTGCCTGTGTAACTCTAAATAGAAGGGTGGATTAGTATCGCTGCTAGCAGATTTATTCTGGATAAGTCCTGATGAATCTTCAGGATCTCCTGACCCTGCTCCACCTGGTTTTCAGGAGCTTTAGTGTAGATTTATACCAGTTGTTTATTTTAGAAAAGCTTTTTCAAATCTTTTCCTATGTTTTTGCAAATAATTTGTATACACAAATTCAGTATATTATGTATGCGTGTGAATGCCTTGATCCCTGATGATCTTGAAAACCAAATGAAAAACAGAATTATTAAAGTAAATTATACTCTCTGTGCTATTTGTACTCTGTACAAATTATACTGTCCTCTGGGGTGAATGTTGTTCATTATCACCTCTGTTCCCGCTTCCCTCCCCGGTAATTAGAACACAGGTATTTATTCAGTAGTCCCGCTAGGGCTGTCTTCTTTTGTGCTCATTTGACATTATTTGGTGTTTGTGATTTTTTGTGTAGGTCCCTCTATGCCGTCTGTATGTGTGTTTGAAAATTCTGTGAAAGCATATTTTTCAAGATGAAAGGTTAATTCAAGACATCCAAAATACGTTTGCAGTTAACCCAAAGTGGTGTTCTGTGGAAAGTGTACTTTTTCCCTCTGATAAGGTCTGAGAGGGCCTGTGAGTGAACGCTGAGTGATAAAGACTCTTCAGACCTTGTGGTGTTCATGTAAGTCCCTCTTCCCTCTACTTGCTGGCTTCCCACCTCTGCCATTCCCTGCTTATCGTGAAAAGCAGACCTGCCACTCCCACCTTCTCTCTTCTCTTACCCACCCCCCTCAGGTCCAGCCTGATACAGGATGTGGCATGTAGAACATACATAGCTCCCATCCCCATCCTCTGCCCTGACGGTTCTTCAACCTTGAACCTCTGCTTCATCAGAACACTTAATGTATATAACACTCTGGTATATAACCTTGGGCAAGTTTTCTACGCTTCCTTTACCCAACGTTTCTTCAGTGGTTTAATGTGGCCAGTAATAACCCACTAACAAGATGGTTTTGAAGAAGGAAGTGTCCCAGCTGGAACTGGGGAGAAGCCCAAATGGGCCACAGCAAAGAGCCCGGAGCTGAATGGCTGGTCACTGATTCCCTTTTTCTGGGAGGAGATCTTTAAACCCACTGTTTGTCCTTTTTTATTAAGTGTCCATAGTACACTTAGTACACTTTCTTGTTCACACAAAATGAAACCAAGGTGGCTGTGAATATTGAGGTAATGTATAAAGAGTTCCTTGCATAGTGAGTACTCAGACATTCCTTTAATAACAAATCATTCCTGATCTTACATCTGTGCCTGCCTACACCTTTATCTTCACCCATATCTCATCTTGATACCCCCTCATAGGTGAGCTGTTCCTCTTGTTCAGGGAGGAAGGAACAAGCACAACAGTCCAAGTTGGAATAGTACATTTTCCCAAAGATACTTTGTTATGAGCGCAGTTATGTTCTGGAATATCAGGAAGTGGAATTATTAATATGTAGTCCAAAGGCCTTTGAGAAATCTAAGTCACTCTTTCATTTAACAGTTGGAACCTAAGCCTGTGAGGTGAAAGTGTCCATGATGTGCTGGCCCCATACCAGGGCATTTTATATGTATTGATTTGTAATCAGAGCCACACTACTGGTATTGCTGGACACACTATCAAGGCTTGGGTAGGCATGCCAGAGATACTGACCCGCTCAGCCCTCGTAGGGGCCAGGCAGGGATTGAGATGGCCAGAGACTTGGGCTGGTCACCTTTAGCTATGACCAGTATCTTACCACAGGGTTGAGTATAACTATTAATCTATCCTCTTTATGCATGCCCTGATTATAAAAAAGGGTTGTGAAAACTGATCCAGATTACCCCCACATCAAACACCTGATAAAAAGAAAATGTTCATCTCCAGATATGATTTGACTGATATGCAAATTTTGATTCAAAGGGATTGTATAACTTCACTGAGATGAAAACAGGTAAATCAGGATTAGTGCTCAGTTCTGTCCTTATCCATCTGCAGGGGTCCTCAAACTTTTTAAAGAGGGGGCCAGTTCACTGTCCCTCAGACAGTTGTGCGGTGCACATTCCACACATGTGCACTGTGGGCCCGGGATGAGTTGGCTGCTAAGCAGGACAGGCAGCGGCAGCAAAAACACCCAGCGGGCTAGATAAATGTCCTCAGCAGGCCGCATGTGGCCCGTGGGTCGTAGTTTGAGGACGCCTGGTCCAGAGCTTATGCTCAGCATTGCTGTCCAAGGGCACGTAGCACCTTAGACGCAAATGGGGCCTGTGAAACACAGGTTACCTGACCTGCTGCTACTGACAGTGTGAGTTGCACAGACTTCTATGAGCAGTCCTGACAGGTTACATTAATTTACACTATTGTAAATTCCTTTGGAGAAATGCATAATGGGTTCTAAAGATCTAACTTGTGAGTTAACCTTTTAAAAAACAACTTGTTAATAACTTGAAGACCTCCCATACTACATGTCTTGTCAACTTCATCCATCTGTAATGTGGATATGGTTAATGTCAGAGTAATAACCTACCAAGGCAATAGGAAACCTGCTGTCTGTATACTTCACCTATATAAATCAGGGTTTTGCATTACAGGCATCCACTTTGCTCTCTAAGATTGCATCTTGTCTACAAAGAGTAATTGCCCATCATAGAAATGAATGCAGAAGTACACGTGAACAGAAAGCTTCATTTGCCGCCTTGGTCAAATAGAGAGTCTAAGATCCAGTGGAAGCCATCACCGAGATGGGTCTGGCTGGCTGATCTGCAGCACTGGATGAGAACATGGGGCATGCTCACCCTCTCCAGCCCCATAGGGACAGTCTTTGAACCCCAGAAAAGAGCTATCTCTTTGTGGTACGCCTGTGCCAAGAATGAATATGCCACATGGCTAGAGTGGTGTGATGTGAACTCTTGCCCTTTCTTTAGTTAACAATCTGTAACATTGTTTTTTCCTGCTGGCCAAGGGCCATTAGAGATTTGACCTTCCTTAGTATGTCTGAAATTTGAGGAGAAACTTCCTACCAGTTGGATTCAGATATTCACACATTTGTGTTGATGAAAAGCAAATAAACAGTTTTAAGAATTGGCAAATGTTAACTCTATACCTTTTTAATATTTGGTCATTTGTTCTATCAGTTTCATTATGCTAATAAAAGCTAATAATAATAGCATTTTTTGGTACTTTACAAAGTGCTTTCAAAAACATTCTCTCACTTTATCATCATAATGATCCTACGAATAGATACAAATGCAGGTGGTGAATCTGGTGTTGAGGTTAAATAACTTACCTGAAATCACGTAGCCTTTAAATTGAGGGTCTGAGTCCTGAATTCCTGTCTGCTGTGTCTATATTTCTGATTCTATTTTTTATTCCATGTTGTCTCAGTTTACATTGCATTAAGTATTAATATTTACTTTGTCTGAAAGGGGGATTAGAAGATGCTGTTAGCATCATAATGTGATTAAATAGGAAAAATTACATATGGGCTTGGAAGTGGAATGTTTTAGTTGACTTCCTAGAAACCATGTTTAATTTCAGTTTCAAAGAACCATCCTCATGACTCTTGTGTTGTGTGCCTGTAGTCATCCATAGCAGTGCCCAAGAACACTCTCTTCTGTGATCTCCAGAGCTCTTGTTTGTTTATGGGTTTACAGTCTCCCCCTAAGTGGCCATCTGGAAGATGGAGACTCTGTAATCATTGCTCTTTCAGTGTGCCTGTTAAGTAGTGGTTGGCATATAACAAAGTGTTAAATATTTGTTGACCAACTGACAGACTAAGAATATTTAAAACAACTGCTTTATGTAGGCTATAAAGGGTTTGTGAATCTTAATTTTTATCACTACAAATATTTCAGTATTCAGTTTTATTAATCTTAAAAAGATTAATATTTCAAAACCATTTCCTATGAGAAAGCTGCTAGTGCCTTATATGACAATATTACTTATTACCAACTAAACTCTTGCATGAGCTGTAATGTTTTTTAAGGCTTATGTTTCCTATTTTCTTGGTTGAGTTCAGACCAGGCAGCTCTTAAGAGAACATTTACTAACATTCATTACTGGGAAAAACATCCATGGTCAAGTTTTATCTGCTAATGTTTTCAGGAAATCATTAACTTTTTTCTAGAGATTGAAAAAAAGCTTATAAACATTTAGCCATTAACAGACTCATGCTTTTTGTTTCATTTTAAGGAACAAGCTGAGTTACTTGATTTAATTCCATGTAGAATGCTGCTTTTCAAGCTGTAGGTTACAACCCATGAGGGTGTCATGAAATCAATTTAGTAGACAGGAATCAGCATTTTAAAATCTAGAACAGAATAGATTAGAGTAAGCTAGACTGAAATTGAAAATATCAGATTGTGTTATATGTAGTTAGAATAAATAATAGTTCATGAAAATTTTGTTTTAAATATTTATAAGTATATACAATAAAAATAAGTTTAAAATTGCATTTTTATTGTGGGCCATCATAAAAAATGACTCATTGATTTAGAACATGCTTTGCCTGATAGTATATTGGGAGCGAGATTACTTTTTATAATTGAAAAATGAATTTTTTGAAAATTATTCATCTAACACACATTAACCCGTTGTTCAGAGGCAGCCATGCATAAAGTACCTATGCTATAAATATATTAGTATTTTCCCACAGTACAGTATAGTGGATTCCTCTTCTACTAATTTCAAGGATCAATAATAAGCATGTTTCTGTTTGACCTGAAATCCCAGACTAATCTAGACATTCCAAATCCTGGTTCAAGACTAGTAAAGTTGTAACCTAACAAATCCCCAGATGGAACTATTGTGATCCTGAAACTTGAGAGACTTGTGCTTTTGAACCTCTTGTATGTTTCTTCTCTGTAGAACTATTTAACAGTGG